ACAGGAACAGGAAACAGAGAGTTGGGGCCGAACAGAGTATAAAAACCCAGCAAGCTCCTTCTTCTTCCTCTTTTCTTCTTCACACAAATTCTTGACTGAACTTTTCTGTTCAGGAACTCAAAGCAGGTGATCCTGTCTATCATTAAACCACCTTTCCAAGCAGCCTCCATATTTCCAGTGCCTTTTCCCCCACTTGGAACTGAAGCCAGAAGAACATTTCTTTCAACAAGACCATCTAGAGGTTTATCTGTGTCCTCAGGGTCACCTGAGTAGTGAACATGTGCAAGTTAGCTATGCACTTTGGGATGAACGGTGTAAATGGATTTCCAGAAAAACTGCAGACTACAGGAACCATTTGCACTTCAGTTTGAGAGGCAGACAACACAGGCTCATTCCCAAAAGCCTGCGCCTGTCTTCAATAGTGAAGGGACACAGGATAGAAAACATCCTGCAGCCAAGAAGTCTCCACACACATTTGTACTCCCCCCCTTCTTTTTTTTCTTCAAATTAAAAGCAAGAAACTCCAGTTGCCTCTTGAAAAGCACCTTCGGACAACCATGACCTAGATGAGAATCTCCATAGGCATTTAGCAATTCACTAGAAGACACTTGATGCCAGTAGACATCCAAATGTATCTGCAGCCTAGTTCTCACTGAGGTGGTAAAGGTATAGCTGGATTAAATAACTTTAAACTTATTAGTGGGTATTTGGGACACAGGTTATTTCATGCTTTGGCATAAAACAATCCCCATATAATGAAATAAACATAAAGTCTGTCTCCATTTTAGAACTAAAAAGTGTCACTTTTATATACGGTTTGGCTTTTTTTGTATGCCTCATCTACAAATCAGAGGCAGTGTAGTTAAGAAAACAGAGTTATCACTTTAATGAGAACTAAGTGCAAACCTAGGGTGAGTCTATTTCATAATATCCAATTTATTTTATTATCTGTTCCACAATTTGGTGCTCCCATGGTGGGTTGGACTACAACTGTACTGATCCCAGCAAACATATCTAATTAGTCCACAGGCTTGTATCTGTCTATTTCTCCTGGTTGTTTTAATAACAATGTTCAAGATTTGCCTTGAATTTTCCCAGAAAAACTTTTTTTCCAGTGTTATGTCTTTGGAAGAAAGAACCTCCAAAGCATACTGAATATAACTATTCTCATCCAAATATCTTCCAGAAACAGGTTTCAAAATACAGAATAGTTTTCCTTCAGTAGATTACTGAACTGCTCTTCTGCTTGTTTCATACTAGTCAATAAGATAAATGTAATGTATCCAAAACAAAGAAAGGACAACTGCAATCATGGAAATAGATTAGGACAATAAGAAGTTATTTGTACTTGGCAGGAGAGGCATTCAGAAGGCTGCTATGATATCTGGTTATCTTGGTCTCTGGTCACTTTTGTGTTGTGGCATTTACACCACCACAATAACTAAAGAGTTTGGGAGGGGTCTTTAGTGCAATTAACAGAGGGTACTATTGGTGATCCTTCTTTAGAATGAGGCATTGGATAGGTTCCTCTGGAGATCATTTGACAGATTCATCATTCTAAAGGACACTTCAACACAGCAAAGTCTGAGTCCCAGTCTGACATGCATTTTTTTGCATATATTTATTGACAAATGTTTTAATGTTGTTTCAGTCACTGTAGAGCAGGGCTGTCAAACTCCCAGCCCGCGGGCCAAATGTGTCATATGCTGGCCACGCACACTTTAGCGAAGGGGGGGGGAGTCCTGATATGTCACATGATGCCACCATGATGATATGAGTTTGATACCCCTGCTCTAGAGCATCTACTCAACACTCCACTCTGCTAACTCTTCAGATAGTTCCAGTAAGTACAGAGGAGAGGTTTGCTTGGCTTTGTTGAAATACCAGGAAACATCAATGGTTGTGAAAATTAGACATTTTGACCTGGTCAATTTTATTTTCAATTACAATCTTAAAAATAAGCCAAAACAGTTTTTTTTTAAAAATAGAAAATGGTATACTCTTAAAGACAACTATTCAAGTTGAAACTGCAGGAACATGGAAAGCATTCAAAATGTATCTCTCTGAATTGAGACCACAAGTGTCAAAATATACAGGCAGTATGACCTGAGAAGGTACAGAAAACGGGGGAAATTAGTTAACAGTAAATGCAGACATTACTTAGATTATTATGATTCATAAATAATATTGTGATTTAAGCCCTGAGTAAGGTAGGTTGACAAGGCAGAAATGTGTATAGACACCTACACACACACACACACACACACACACACACATGAGAAGGCAGCAGACAGAAACCTGAGTCAGAGAAAAGTGATCAAGAAACGTCTGCATTTGAATACTGACAAATACTCCAGAGGCAGAGATACGTGATGAATCCCAGATTTCAGAAAGACGTGACACTGTAAATATGGGAAACCTCTGTTGATATATTCAAAACCTCTCAGAAATGATTGGAGTTTGGAAGGATGCAGGAGCTGTTAATGTACTGCTGATATATGAGAAGGGTGCAAGGAAAGATTTGTGAAAAGGCAGACATGAAGGCATGACTTTAGTTGGTACAGACGTTATGGGAAAAACTAAATAACAGAAACCAAAAGAACACCTGGAAAGTTACGATTTAATTAAGGACAGTCAGCCTGGATTCGCACAAAATGAAACATGCCCAAAATATCAGATTTATGGAGGAAGTAACAGAAAAACAGACAAAGGTTAAGTCATGGACATAAGGAAAAATTTTGATACAGTATAGCAGAAAATTGACTTGTAAATACAGAATGGCACTTCTGAAGGGAACTTCAGAATGACCAGAAAGAAGCAGAGTTTGATTAGAACAAAAAGAATAAGACTGCAAAGGTTAACAGACAACACATTTGATGGACAACATGAACATAGTGAATCTGTCACCTGGATATAAAACAAAATGCATTTCATCTTACAAATACCAGTAGCAAGCTTCTGATATTTCAGAATATAGCATAAGAGAGATAGAACTGTCTCAGAAAAAAATTGGCACAGATTTTTGTTGCGGTGCTGCTGTTATTTGATCTAACATCTCAATGTTACCAAAGAGACCAAAGCAAAGGAGTTTCAGAATCCATATGTCTTTTTAAACTTTTGCTTCTTACTCATCTCACCTACATCACTAACCTCATTTTGGAAGGACCATGTTCCTCCCTTAGAATTGATCTAGCCAATTCAGTTTAGACGGGAGATGATTCTCCATTTAAAGAAGGTGTGGGCTTCAAGGAGCTGCTATTTCTTATTAGGAGTGCTGACCCTCTGGAATGCCTCCCATTCAGTGATTGTCTGAAAGCAGCTAGTAGGTGGAAATCTTCCTGGGAACATCTAAGGCTTGGATTTAATTTTTTTTAAAAAATGGTAGATTTTTTTAAATTATTTGTATGGTACAGTGGATGTTTTAATAATTTTTATATTCTGTAAAACCACCTAGAATCGTTTAGGAATTACAGTGTGGTATAAATGTTGTTTTTAGGTTGTTAGGTTTTTATCATTTTTATTGTACTCTTAGCTGTTTTAATGGTTAGTTAAAGCCTGCAAGAATCCTGTGGGATTGCAACAGAAAATGATGTAAGCCATGCAGCTAACTTTCTATATTCATTCATTCAATATTTTCTACAGCTGCCCATAAGTGACTCGGGGCAGTGTATATCATAAAACAATACATCTGTCTAACATTTACTTTAGAACATTCATTCCCTTTTTCCCATATTGAAAAACAACCCTAGCTACTAGTACAATGCATTAGTATTAGTAGTTCCAGGCATATATGAGATCTATCATTGTTTCTATGAAATCCATGTTTGGCCTTTCTCTTGGCACTTTTTTCTCAGTTTGGCCAAGAGAAAGGCCAAACATTGATTCATGGCCACTGTTTCATCCTTTTGGAATCCTGAGGTCTCCTTCCCCAATGGTCCCTGAACGGTAGCTCTCCACAGGCCATTCAAGTCTAGTGCAGTCCTTGAGTTGACTGGGACTACACCAATCTAGTAAAAATCTGCTTCCTAGGCTTGGGCCACTTCCATCCTAGGATTGAAAGCCAGGACTGAAAATAGGGAGAAAGGAGGCATTTCCCTTCCATGATAGTAGAAACTGTGCTTTAAATGGTGGACATTAGGAACCAGTAAAAGAAAATGCTTCTTGCCATTGGTTCCATGTCATAGGATAAAGTTACATTATGCAAATGTGCTGCCATGAGGATCATCAACTTAGGGGACTTGAGAAGACATCAGATCAACTTAAGAAGTGTAAAGCAGGAAGGATTCCATACGCCTCCACGATCAAAGGCAGTGCCCCTTTGATCAATACAGCTAGGAAAGCACTGTTTTGTGTATGTGCTGCTCACAAAAGGTTGACTTGAGGATAATGAATGATGTAAGAGGATTCTTATAGCATATATTGAGAAAAGAAAATAAGTGGGGAAAAAGAGATTTTATTTATCTACTGTACATTCGTAGTGATTTACTGATTTTGCTAGCAGAGTAGGTGGTTAAAAACAAGTGTGGCTCTGCACATTAGACCTGAAAACTCATATATTGATACAGAAAGTCTCTGATCCTGTTACACTCTCTTCCATTAGTTGTACTGAAGATCCCTTTTTCTCTTAATGTTGCAGCTCAAGTTAGTAGAGTTTTGTAGGAATGAAATGAAAGGAGACCTTTCCCCCTTCAGCTGCTTTGAACTACCAGAGGAAGACGGGCTGGTAAATGCAACAACTAAAGCAATAAAAACACACTCTTATATAGACACATGAACACAAATTAAAAACACAACTGAAGCATCATGGAAACAACTCTTTATATCAGTCAAGTAGAATTGAAATATATTTGTTGGGAAAGGGCTAACACAAAATGAGATAAAAATAAAAAGTACCCTTTAAAAAAAAGTGGCATATCATTTTTCTTTCTTCTCTTCCTGATGCTCAGTCAGGCTGCTTGTGAGTGTAGCTGACTTTTCTGTCAAGTAGTGACTGAACTTACCACATCGTCTCTGTCTTCCCATTCAACTTCAGAGAGGTCAACGCTGCTGTAATTGGGCTTTCTTCGCTTTTTTCCTTCTTCATACTACGGAGAGGGAGGGAGGGAGAGAGAGGGAGAAAGAGAGGGAGAAGGAGGGAGGGAGGGAGGGAGAGAGAGAGAGAGAGAGGGAGAGGGAGAGGGAGAGGGAGAGAATGAATGAGATGCCGGGAGAAAAAAACCCTGGCACTTCTTCTATTTTTCTAGTAAATTGATAAAGGCAAAGCCAACTCTCCCACCTCACCCCATCCCCCGTTCTGTTCAATTTTACATAAATGCATAACTGTTCTTTTGGAGTATATCAAGATGCTTTTTTAAAAATAACTTTCCATGCTGGACTACAAACCCATCTCATCGAGGCAGCATGACTGTGGTAGTTAGAGACAGCACATTGAAAAGATGTCCTGTTAATCAGACTATGCCTTTTCCATTATTGTTCCTACGTATTGTATTTTATTGGCGATGATCCTTGCAATAGTTTAAACATAGAACAAGAAAAAAATATTCATTTTCTTACAAAACACTGTGCCATACACTTTATACATAAAATTAAAGCTACATTCGAGCCAAGGTGGCGCAGTGGTTAAATGCAGCACTGCAGGCTACTGCTAGATCAGCAGG